CCCCAAAACCCCAAAACCCCAAAACCCCTTTAAAGAGAATAGAGAACTTTATTAATTTATTGAATAAATGTCAAAAATTAAAAATCGCTTTAGAAAAGTGAGGCCTATAAATGATATCAATTAAAATTCCATTAATATGAGTCGAGCCTTTGATAATATGGATTTAGAGTAGCTATTTTAATAACTTGGAGAGTAGTAAAGGTCAAAATAGGATAGCACATGAGGACAATTCGAATAAATAAAGCATCTAAATAAAAGTTTCAACAATTTACTGCCAGAAATATAAAAATCTCCCATGTAGATTTAAGATTAAAATCAAAGTGAACTTAGAAATGAAAGAGTTAGAGATGGTTTACAGAAGGATAAAAGTGCTTCATAAATCAGACATCGGTTATGATTAAGATAATCAAGGATAGCATAAGAAGTAATTGGGGAGAAGAAGTTGTTTAAAGTTAAATGCATTGAATTCGTACCTATCCTCAACAGGGAATAAATTAATGATAATTTCAATTACAATAAAACTCCATAGTGTAAACCCCTTAATGATAGCAGCAGTGTCAATCTTTCAAACCTAAGTGCTTTAGGCCAAATATTAACATAAAAAAAGAGAACTTTTGATCGCTAGACTTAAGATAGTATTAATAAATCTCTAGACAAATTACTGAATATAAATACTTCTACCACTAATAAGAACTCTTAAAGTAAAAATAATTCCGTAGATAGATTGCCAGATGTATAGAAATCTTATATTCTGATGAAAGATATACCTCTAGATCCTATTGAAAAACTAGAAAATAAATTTAGAATTCAATAACAATAGCTAAACAAGCTGAAACAAAAATTTGAGGAAAACAATAAGACTACTTTGGACTAGTAATCAATTTAGTAACAATCTCAAAGCAATAATAAGATTAAAAAAGCTAATGTGTCTCTGAATGATCCTTAGAAAGTAGACTTAAAAAGTTCTGAATTAAACATTAGTAATTCTAAGAAAATCCATAAATTAAGTAGTAAAACTTCAAAATCAAATAAACTTACAAGCTTTAATCATCCTAGATTCAAGTTGATAAACGAAGATAAACTTATCTAACTCACATCACTAATAAGCAAAATTTAGAATGAGTCATAAATCAATACCACGACCAATAACAGTGTAAATATTTAAGCTAATAACTCTAAATTTAAAAGCTCAAATACAGTTACTAGCCACAATATTATTCCTGCAATTACGAATCAATCAAACCTAAATTTAATACCAAACACAATTATAAATAGGAGTAATTCAAGAACAAATAATATTCTGATTTAGAGTCTTGATAGTAAGTAAAGTGAGTCTGAAAGAGATGATAAGCATACTGCTTCTACCACTACGATTTCTAATATATATTTCCCCTTAAATTGAGATCAGTATAAAAAGCGTAATTAGTTGAGTAGTCACTATCAATCCTATAATATTGCTTAGGTTAATAGGTTGGCATTACCTTTGAATTCATAGACGAGTACATTAGACAATAATGGCTATGTCACAAGGACATCATAAAGTGATTTACTAGTTTAAGGGGATAGATTTAAATCTAAGAGTAGATCTGACTTTTCAAACGATCTTAAACTTAAGAAGTTTGTTATAAGTTAAGATATTGAGCAGTAGCAGCATAATAGTTCTATTGATAATTTAGCTTAAGGAGCATCAAATAGTATATTTCATAGTAAATTTCTAAAAACATATGGTATGCACATCAGTTATAACTAGCCGATTCCTATCAGTTCTTAACTCAAAGTTAAGATTAATAGAGAAAAATTTTAGAAATACCTATAAAGCAAGCACCAAAAATTAAATGAAATTCTTAATACCGCAAATTCCAATCATTCATAAAATGGAAATACTCTCATAATTGAATCTAATAAACTTGGTAATCATAGCCTTACAGAGCAGGTATAAGATTTAAAAAGTTTGAGCCTATTAGATAGAATCCAATAAAGATAGTTAAATGCTGAATTTTAGAAACAATTCTAAGGTTTTAAAAGATCTCTACTTGAGCATTAACTACAAAGACAATAGGATTAGATTACGAGGACTGAACTTTCTGTTGATGACATTCAACTTCTTTAAATGCGTAAGTAATTACACAATTTTGAAATCTTTACTTCTAAATTATAGCTATTTCGAGAAAGAATATTATTAGCAAGAGCTTTGATACCTTTTCTTAACATGTTGCAGATTAAGATCAATAAAGTTCATCAGTTACTATTTCGAATGGTGCTGTCCCCACACCAAAGATGGCTGCTAGAAAAATCAAGAAAAGATAAATTTAAAATGAGATGATGATTAAGAACTATAGCTACTTGGATGATGTCTTGATTTAGGAAGATATTAACAACGTTAATGAAATCAGGAACTAATTTCTACTAAACTAGTATATTTTTCAAATTATAATTGATTTTATGTAGAGACATAGATCATCCTGATGAAGAAGCAAAGCTATAAAGAGAAAAAGATGAATAAGATCCGTATCATGTATCACCTCTAAGAAGAATGGAGATTAAGAAAGAGCTTAATGATATGTTTAAAAAGAATTTCGACTCGATAGAGAAGAAAAACTATGACCACATTATTGTAAAATCATAATCAATTACCATAACTAATTAGAAAGCCAAATCCAAAAGAACAAAACGAACTGGCCTATAGTACAGTAGTAAGGAGCTATCAATATTTGAACAGACTAGTTTCAACTTTAATAACTTTTCTGGATGGTGAGGAATTTGTGCGCTAATTTATTAAAAATTATAGCCTGATATTATTTAAATGCTATTGAAAAAAATTAACATTCTAATTTCCATTAACAAAATTTATTCTTTCCATTTCGAATTTCTATTTTTTATTTGAACTCTTTGAAATGCTTTACATTTAGAAACATGGGGTTTTGGGGTTTTGGGGTTTTGGGG